GCTGCTCCGAGGGGCGATGGGCCTGCGCGGAGGCGGCGGCAGCGGCGGCCTCCGGGGCCAGGTCGTGGTCTTCCTTGCGCTCCTCCTTCACCTTGACCTCCGAGCTCTTCCGGGGGTGCTCGTAGGCCGCCTCGCCCTTGCGCGGCTCGGCCTCGCGGCTCGAGGTGCTGCCGGGCCGGGCGCCGTCTGCCGCGGGGGCGCGCGCGAAGGGCGAGGGCGCGCGGGCCGCCTGCTTGGCGTCGTCGCCCGCGGCGCGCGCCTCGTGGCCATGCGCGTCCTTCTCGGGCGCGTGGCCCTCCTTCGCCTTGTGCTCCTCCGCGGCCAGGTCCTTGCGGGATTCCGAGTGCTCCCGTTCCCTCTCTTTGGGTTTGTCTTTCTCGCGAGCCTCGGTGTTCAAATGACCCCTGATCTGTTCGGCAGAGCTGCGGTTATGTCCCAGGGCGCCCACCGGGAGCATAGGTGCTGGTGAAGGATGGCTGGAGTGTCTCTTCTCGACGCTTTCCCTGGGCAGAGAGAGGGACACAGGACACGAATGAAGCGGGCCTGCGCGGGGCGAGGGGCGGGCTGCAATGAGATGGCGGTGGAAAGGACCGGCGGGCGTGGCTCCCGCCTGCCCCCTGAGCTGAGCGCCTAGATTTCCGAGGAAACTCCGTGGGGTAAAGCGCTGGGGATGAGGTGAATGAGGGAGCCTAGGGGGACATTGTTCTATCTGTGTTTAAGAGCCGAGGGCCTCAGTCGGGATCAGAGAACTTTCAGAGAGCCAGGACGGGCCAGGCGGCCCCTGGGTCGGTGACGTGGTGACAGGAGCACTCGCCCAGACTTTCAGGATCGGGCGATGTCGGGAGTCACGGCCTAAGGGCCCAAATGCAGGCACCACTTTTCCTTCCAACGCTGGACAGAGACCGGAAGGCGGAGTTTAAGGTAAACTCAGGGGGTCTTGTGCTGCTGACACTCAGACCAGAGGCCTTTTTGGAGTAAAGGATGCGGGCACAGAACAAGCTCTAAGGTGAAGCGAGGGTCTGAAAGGAAACCAAGTTCCTGAACTCCCGGGTGCCCCAGTCTGGCCAGCAGGTGGAGGCAGGGTAGTAGGAAAAGTGGGGCCACAAACACAGAACCTCGCGGGGGAAATAGAACAAGTGAGAGAACATCCATGGACACGCATGGAAACGAGAACGCCAGAGACTTGCCTTGGATAGGGACAGAAAATGCCGGACAAGGTAAAACGTGGAGGCTTAAGATGAAGAATCAGGGAAGTCTTAGCAGAGCCCCAAGACACAGCCTTCGAAGGGAGGGGAGGAAGAGAGAAGCAAGACACGTGGAGGGCAAAGTGGTGTCCACAGGGGGAGAATTCAGGAGGTGCCCCTGTGACCTTAAAGGGAAGCTCGGAAGAAGAGTGTATTTTATTAAGTTTCCCGACTTCAATCCAAGAGGCCATTTTGATGCCATCAAGACAAATCTGAGAAGCTCTGCCGGCCACATCCTGCGTTCCGCTCAGTAACAGGTTATCTGGAGCTCAGGGCTCAGGCTCCAACACTCTGGGCTGCCACACTTTCCCAGGTTACAGCTCAGAGCTGAAGGCTGGAAGTAGCCTCCTCACTGGTTAAGAGAACTCTGATCATATGGACGTGATGGGAAATACATCTTTTTATTTTGTGAGAAAGGGATCAAACAGCATAGCATAATGGCCTGTGAGGAATATCTACTAATCTGTCATACAGCCTGCAAAGCCGAACATTTAAAAATTATCAGGACATACACACATACACAGAATATATACAATAAAGAGAAATGGAAGAGTTGGATCAAATTTGACTCTTCAGTGAGTGATCATTAGGTATTTCTTGTTAAGCATATCTGGTACATTCCTTGCTTACCCGTTAATTCAGAAGGAATATAGCGTAGGAAAGACAAAAAAAGAGACCCTCTGTCAAGAATGCTTATGACATTCTTCAGAAAACAATCCTACAAGATGTTTCCTCTTTAAGGCTACTTCCTTTAGGCGGGGTCACTGTGTACCGAAACAACCATGGTTAATAGAATTTATTATCCCCTGGCAAAACCAACCCAAAACTTCTTGCTGGCCTGTCTCAAAATTTAGGTTAGTAAGATTTTACTGGTTATCTGTGAGTCCCAGGCTTTGAGTTTGAACAAAACTTGAGAAAAATATGATGAGGCAATGCAAACATGACTTTCTAAATGCAAACAAAAAGAGAGAAAGAGAAAAACCTATGGATGACTGAATGGACTGCACGAACTTGAAAGCAAATATGGCATTGATTCATGCTGTGTGTGTTCGGTCCAAAGTTGCAACTCTCTGTCTCATGGAGGAAGATTTACATTTGGACACATTAATGCTTCTGGGACTTGGGATGTTCTGCGTGCATCACTGCCTCTGAGACAGGCATCTTTCACTGTGCTAGAGGCTATCCTGAGGTCACGACACACTGAGTGCCCTGGGGTGCTGGCTCCGGAGCTGAGAGGGGCCCTGTGGCCTGGGTGGGAGATGGGGCTGGGGGCAGCTGGAGCACGAGGCTGGGCCGGGGAGGGTGGGCGGCTGGTTGCATTGGTACGTGGCACAGAGCGGGCTCCCCCATTGGGACTCGAGAGCGGTTTCTTTCCGTACCTTTCTTTGTCATCTTTACTAACAGATGAGTCTCGTTTATCTACATCTCTATCTCTGTCATGAGCTGCAGCGGACGCGCTGCGCTCCAGCTCCCCTGGCTTCAGCCAGGGCGGAGGGGTCGGGAACGACGGAGGCGTTCGGTGCAGCCGGTTCCAGGGTTCGTGAGGGTTGCTAAAGCTCTGCACACTGGGGCCATCCTTGTGGCCGAACATTGAGTTGGGTGCTGAAATGGTGAAGTGGAGAACAAAAAGGTTTAAGAGAAATTATATAATCTGCTGTAATGAAGGTACTTACCAAAAAACTTTTAACAGCATTCAGAGTTAAAATGAATACATATTATTGGGAGCTGGAAAAGGAAAGGAGATTAACAAATTCATTAGAGGAACTCTTGTCCTACACTGGAGATGTAGCTCAGTTGTTTTTTTGTTTTTCTTTAAAAAAGACCAAAAGCAGATGTGGGGTGGGGGGGTGAGGGATCAAAGATGAAAGGGACCAAATGGGTGGGTGTCGTTTTCACCTAATCAGACATATCCGGTGCATGCAGAAGTCCCAAGCATGCAGGAGGTGTATGATGATGGTGCCACTCAGATCACTCAACTCCAAGAAGAACACAGTTTCCTCTGCCCATCCTGCTAAGGCGACCGCTACTCCTTCCAACACAAGCGAACTAAAACCAAGGTCCCCCGAGACGACACGGGACCTTGACCTGAACTGATGCATAATGTCACCATGCTGAATTTTAAATCAAAGCTTCATGGTGATCGGGGGCTCAGAGTGACATCTTAGGTTTCTTGTACTCCAGAAATATGAAATGTGGCAGCAGAAAAGGCAGCCGAGGACTTGGTGACTAAATGCTGTCCAGAACATGAGCGCGGGTTGCATCTCTCTTCCTATTCAAGGTGAACATTTTAATAGTAGAAAGCTACATGGTTCCCTCACAGCTCCTGGAGTATGACGCGCTGCCAGCTTATTTTGAGTCTGCTATTCTTCAGTGTACTTGTGATTCCCAGCAGTGCCAAAGGCAAGATAAAATTTTAAAATTGTTTTTACTTGTAATGTGTGCTATAGCCAAAATCTTGACTAGCAGAAATGGGATGTAGATGAGACGATAAACTTACATAAGCTTTTGGCAGACAGTAACCAACTCCACTGCCCTTCCTGGCCCTCAGTACCACAGGCTGAGCGAGGGATCTCTTTAGAGGGGTAGCTTTGCACACTTGCACCTAACTCCATTGCTCTGGCCTGCTCTTTGCAATGACAGAGCCTAAGTTTGTTTCCCAAGAGTACAGTTTCCTTTTATATAAAAGGGTCAGGAACCATATGCAAGTCAGAGGAGAGAAACAGTCCGAGGCGGATTTGAAAAAGTTAGAGGTACTCACTAACTGAAGGGTTTCCAAGTCCCCCAAAAGCATTGCCACCGACTGCCGCAAGGCCTGTGAACGTAGATGGCCGATTAAAAGGCTCTGCAGAAAGATTGGGAAGAAGGGAAGGGTCACCACCTCTGCTGAGCAAGCGACGCGCGCTCTGTAACACGGCTCCTCGCCGTCTCGGCGCCTGTCTCACTTCTGCTGGACTGGGTGAAAGGTCTGCATCGCACTTGGATTTAGGTGCTGATTAGCAGAATGTTTACAAGGTGCTTTTTCTAGAATGCTGCACTTTGCCCAGGGGGACGGTACCCTAGATTTTCAGCTGCCTTCCTGCCCAGGGATCCCTCTTCCGGGAATGAGCTCTGCAGGTTCTAACTATCTTAGAGTACATCTCTGGATGTTGTTGTTATGAGCTTGTGTGCTTGCAGAAAACACCAGATCATAAAGACCACAGGAAGCATAAACACTTACTAGGACAAGGCACATTAACAGGGCAGTAAAATGTGAGGTAACCAAAATAAAAAATCCTTTTCAACATCGTATTGTCTTTCTTCGCGCTCCAGGAGGTGCCCTTAGCTGTGGGGTGGGATTTCACCATCTCCCTCCAGTGGGTGGGGCCAGGCAGTGCTAAACTTGGGGACTGGAAACACCCAGGATCAGCTCCCCCTCCAGGCACCCCAATAACTCCAGACAGAAGCTGACTAAGTGCAGATCTACCACCAAAGGGGGACAGTGTAAGAGGCCCTCAAATCCAGAAGGTGGTGGCACGTGTTGACACCATTTTCCCTCGGCGGTGGGTGAGGCACGGGGGACTGTCAAAGACGTGCCAGCCAGTGAAGTCAGAGCACCGGAAACGCAGCCTGGCACATCTGAGGTGCACACAGTTCCCACCACGGAGCACCAACTCACCTAGGTGGGCAGCAGGGTTGAGGAAGTTGCTGTGATGAGGAGGTGGCCCAAAGGGGGTTCCGGTTGGGTGTGCAGCACCTATCGAGTCAAATATAACCAAGTCAGATGTCAACAAAGCGAACCTCTAGATAGTGACTGTCTCCAGCTTGCTCGGGTGCCCACAGGCATGAATGTTAACAAAGGGACTACGTGGCTAAGGCCCACCCAGACCCCGCAGGCAACATGCTAGGTCAAAGAAAATGTGCTTGCTATGAAGTAGGAAGCAAACCCTCTCTCCTCTTTTCTAGCGGGGCTGACCACCACCAAAATAGGCGCTGCTTTTGAAAGCTGACAGCACACAAAATTAGAAACATGGAGATGACTGCTGGGGGTGTGGAGGACGGGTCTACAGCCAAGAAAGTCTGGAGAAATACTGGGTTAGCAAGTGTGAAGTGAGGCCCTCCACCGAAGGCCCTGTCCCACTTTCTCCAAGAGGGGAGCATGAGGACGAGGACTCCCTTTTTCACAGAGCATCTGGGGGGGGGGCGGGGTTCGCTGTCCTGAAGCTCAGGTCTGGGCTGTACTCCTCTGGCCCCCAGAGACGCTCCACTCCTTCCCTACGGCACACGTTAGCTCTCCTGCACCTAGGCTGAAGGGTCTCACAGGTCTCAACCCTAGGATATGCCTTGCTGCAAGTTACATGAGGCTCTGGGAGACGAAGGACTCTGATGTCTCTCAACTTGCAGTGCCAGAAAAGGCTGTTTCATTCACACACTTCGAACACCAAAAAAACGTATAACTGACTCTCTTAGTCTTTACTCTGCCTGCCGGAGAACTTAAAGATCAAAGTTTCTTTCCTTACATTTTCCCTTTATCTCTATTTCCTCCTCTACTTTATGCCATGTCTAACACTCGCTTGTTTGAGTTGCCTCAAATCCTTTTCCTGAAGGATGCTGGGAAAGGAAAGAGAGGCCAGGCACCTGTGACAGAATCTCAGAAGCTGAAGGTACCCAAGAGGTTGTCCATCCTGCCCCAGATGGTGGCTTATTCTCCACCTGGGAAGTGTTAAAATGATACCCGATCTCCACGGGGCGAATCTACTCCAGCACGTTCATCTGGCATTGCTAGCGTTGCCAGTTACATATAATTTTAGCCACGTACTGTCTCTGAAGTACAAGCTAATTAATGCTTCAATGCAGACCAGAGCCTTGCTCAGCCCAAGGCCCCCAGGGATGCCTACACTTCCAGAATTATTGAAGCAAAAGAAGCCAATTCATCCACTTGGGTTAAATGAAAGCCAGAGAGAAATTTCTCTGTTTCTGTCCAAAAATTGCTCTTAATGTAGTCCTGTCTTAGAGCTAGGTGCCATGGTAACGGAGCCTTCAAATACATCCCTAGACAGAAGTGACAGAGAAAAACCCAAGACCTTAGCAAATTCCATCTACCCTCAAGGGTGATTCACTTGCACTGGCAACAAGGTCTACAATAATGATGATTTCTTGCAATGTGGGTTATTTCTTTTTTCCTCAATGGAAGAGCCATGGGTCTGCCAAAATTGAGTCTTGGATCAAAGCCTGGGAAGGGAGCCGGCAGGATGGATATGAAGTTGTTCCCTAAGGGTCAGAAACAGCAAGCCCCTTCAGTATTGATGTCTACTTAGCACAGTGGGTATGAAGGTACGGAGCTCATTACTAGGACGAGTTCAGTACCACTGTTTTTGAGTATTTACCGAGCAGAAGCCATGTCAGGCAGTACGCATTAAAAACAGCTTTAGAAAAGGCTGAATGATGAGGAGCCCTTGACACCAAGGGGCTGTTCCCATCCACCGAATATTCCCTACGGCCGCTGACTTTGGATTGCGTCTACCTGGCACAGGAAGGGCAGTTCTCGGATGCGCTTCCCTCAGTCTTCTCCTCCCCAACTTTCCCTCCCATGGATCCTTGGGAGTGTGTGTTTTCAGAGGTTAAACGGATTACAAATCCAATGGACAGGTCACAGGTGTAACAAGCAGAACAGCTTTCTCCCTAAATTTCCTCCACCTCAATACCCAGCCAGGCAATGTGATGTTCTACAGCAGAGAAACCCAGCCAGCCAGCACCCAAGGGGACCCCTTCCTGATCACAGACCGTCTGCAGCTATCTTAATGGATTTCTTTATCCTCAGACCCTGGAAACCCAGTGTGACCGAGTGGTACGGTGCAAAATCACAACGCTCTGTGGGCACCTAGAGGAAGGGTGACCACATTCTTCTGCAATTCCTGGCACTGTTTCCTTCTGATTTGCCCTTGCAAGCTTTCCGATCATTTTCAAAAGCATCTGGCATGCCTGTGAGTTACACTGGTTTAACACAGAAGCAAATAATAAGCCGAAGCAGTATGAGTCCCCATAAAGGAGGATGGTCGCTTCTTCCTTCTGAGGGTGCCTAGACAGAGAGCCTGATGGACCATTCCAGGCGGTGACTGAGCAGTGACGAGGAGCCTACATTTCTCAGCTCTCCACTCAGAAGCAAATAATAAGCCGAAGCAGTATGAGTCCCCATAAAGGAGGATGGTCGCTTCTTCCTTCTGAGGGTGCCTAGACAGAGAGCCTGATGGACCATTCCAGGCGGTGACTGAGCAGTGACGAGGAGCCTACATTTCTCAGCTCTCCACTCCTCCTCTGAACTCACCAGCAGCAGAGAACAAAGTCGAAGGCCGGGCCAGGTCATGGGGGTGGTGGATGGCTCCAAAGAGACTGGGGCCTGGCGGGCGGCTCAGGAACTCAGGTTTCAGTCCAAAGTCCAACTTATGTGGGTCTGACTGCATCTGTTTCTGAAACAGCAAGGGGAAAAAAGATGAAATCCCAAGAAAGATTTTAACAAAGAGCCTGAGCCTGGCAGACTGAACTCTGTGAAGGGGGCACTTGGGTGCAGAGCCCTAATCAGGTTCAAGTTTACAAACACTGTGAGATGCGGCACCCCAGAAACCATTTAACCCTCTTGGGGCAGGAAAGTGGGTCACCTAACAGAGACCAGCAGTGCCCACTGCTGGGTAGTACTGCCTCTCACATCAGAAACTGCAAGCTGCAAATGAGCATTCGGCCGTTGAGGCTGCAAGGTTTAAGGAATACGAGTGTATTCTATTTATTCAAACTGGCACTACTTCTGGAGTAGTTTATTATTTTGCTATAAAGGGCCATTTTAGCAAGTTTTAAAATGATAGTATTTTAAGGCTCATTTTATTAGGAATTCTGCATGAATAATCTACTGTGTAAATTAATTGTTTAATGACTTGGCCATACTCTAACAGATCACAGCACATTAGTAACCAAACATTATGAAGAAATATCTGCATGCCTACAAGCTAATTTTCAAATGATCACTGTTGCATATTTAAAAAACAACAACAAATGAAACAAAGGAGAGGTACTGATTTAACTAGTAGGTCTTTTCTTTTCCCTTCTGCCCCCAATTTCCTGAAGAGGAGGAGGAGGAGGTCAGATTGCCCCAGTAAACACCGATACCCTCTCTTGTTGGGAGTCCTCACCATCCGGCCTAAAGCTAATCCTTCAGTTCGCCTTCTCTAGGTCTGTAGACATTGGCCCATAACCTTCCCCTGGGCATTGTTCTGGAGGTGGGCAGCCCCAGTGGTTTCAGGGTCGCCCCACCTTCTTGACTCTTCTCTTGGGATCTGCTTCCTGCCTCTCCAGACGGGCCTTGCCCCTCTCCTCTGGTAGCCTGGGGCCCTGGGATCTGAGGCTGCGAGTTGCCTTCCCACCCCTCTCCTGCTCTTGCACTGCCCCCAGCCTGCGTCTGACTCACTCTTCCAATCTCTCGGACTTGACTGACCCCAGCTGGCCCCATTCTTGTCCCACCCCAAACGTTATGCTCTGAGTGATCTTTGCCCACTGTCCAATGACAGAGATGATAAAGCATCTATGTGGACAGAGCATGGTGTGAGGGTCAGAGCTGAGGGAAGGTCCCCATTCCCTTATTGCTACAGGTCAAAACCCTACTCATCCACTGCCCCCATTTGAAGGAAAACCTGAGCACCTTGGGGTAGGAGTGACACCCTTTAGAAATACACAGCACTTCTGTCACCAATACACACATGCACTGATCCTCCCTATGGAACACTGAAGCAACCAGAGGACAGGAGAGAGGAGCGTCCCCTGCCTGCCATGCTACATAATCTGACGGCTGCAGACTCTTGGTAAGTACTTGGTGAGTCACTAAAAGAATGAGTAAATGAACGTTACAGAAAAGGGACCGGATGACTTCTGCCCAAATCTATAGGGAAAACTCTAATGAAAGTCCCAGTAGAAAGTAATAGCCAAACCCCCAAACCAAGCTCCTAATTCACTATAAATCTGTAAAAATATTATCAGTCCCTCTTTTAATTTGGTTGCCAGATTATTTAGTGCTAATATTGCATGGTGCACAGCACAGTTTCATTAAACACAACTTAGGTCTATGAAGCAAAATGGAGCTTGGGGATTACAAACAGTTTGGAGGGAAGGAAAGATGAATGGAGTCATCTCGTGTTCAAGAGGTCTTGCTAATTGAATTGGGATAATGAAAGTTTAAGTCACTGGGGGCATTTTTATGGAGAAGTGGGAAAGTGGCACATACATCCTTCATCGCTTTAAACCAAAGGAGTTAACAGGAAGACATGTTTTACCTACTGATCTGCTAACCATGCCATCCTGAACCAAAAGTGAATTGAACTAATCATCAAAATCTAGTTAGCTCTTCAGAGGACACACACTTTCCAGTGAAGTTAAAGTGTAAGGTTTCTAATTAAACCTTGCTTAACAATAGAGTCAAAGTGAGCAAAACTCACTGATGGGATGGTAGGAGAAAGACGAGGTGTTGGCAACTGAAGCAAAATGTCTTAGGGAGCTTTGTTCATTTACTGAGGTTTACTTTTTCTCTTTGAACTAGGTTTTGTTTGGTTTGAATTTTTATTTTTTATTAGTATATGTTTGCAGTGCATAATGCCTGCCTTCCTTGTGGGGAGTCAGGGCACCCGTCCAAGAGCATTTCTCTGATGACTCACTCTTCTCTGCATACTGGCCTCCTGGACTACTCTCATGATGTTTCTCACATGCTGTGAGGACGAAGAGCTTGTTCATGAACCCATGGATTCAGTGATAAAAGCTTGTTTATGAAGCAAAGGATTAACTGAAGCTTACTGGAATGACCAATTGGATGTTTTCTACCATTTTTCCAGCCAGTTACCCAGACTTAAAATCTGTCACTTTGTCAGTTACTTTGTCCCTTAAGCCAAGCACTGGCCCCATGTCAGCTTCCTTGTAATTTTTGTTCTTTTCCATATTGTGTTATTAAGACTTAGTTAAAGCAGGATGTATTTAACTATATGATGAAAACACACACACACACACACACAGACACACACACACACACAAATTTACCTACAGACAGGGTAACTGGCCAGAAGGTGGTTCTGGCAGTACTGACTATATTCTTTTTTTTGGTACCAGGGATCGAACTTGGGATCTTGCGCTTGCGAGGCAGGCGGAACCACTGAGCTAAATAAATCCCGGCCCAGTACTGACTGTATTCTAATGGCTGACACTGGTCACCAGAAGGATTAGTGAAAGGTCACTGCAAACCCAATGCTACTTCTAGAAGAGTAATTGTTAATTATTTGCATTGATAATGGCTGTTCAGTATGGTGTCTTCATATGGGGTATAAATTACTCTTTATCATTTTTCCAAAGCCATAAAATGAAAAGTATATACCAATCATTACTTAAAAGCAAAACAAAACATTCACTGTTGGCTCTTCTGAGCTACTATTTTTCATATTCTAATTCTAGCCCACTCTAATTAGATTCTCAAACCTTTATTTCAGGATTTAATCCATATTTGAGCCCTTTGGGTCAATAAGATGACAAATTCATAAAAAAGGAAAACTATACTAGGGAATTATCAGTTTGCTTTTGTTTTGTAACTGCTGGTTGTTTCCCTAATTACTAATAAGATTGCTCCATAGTTTTTCCAAGAGGGACTTGATCCTTCCTGCCTGAGGGTTTTTAGATCCCATTTAGGTGTTCCACGTGGACCACACACTCCTCCCCACCCCCATCCGCCCTGATCCAGGAAGTCAGACTGACCTTGACTTTCTGTTGGTGGTGGTAAATCTGCCAGGCGATGTGAACATGCATAGCACACCACTTCCCTGGTTTCTGGAACAAGAAAGAGCAATGTGGTCAGAAGAAAGACACTCTGGAGAAACCACCTTCAATTTCCCCCAAGCTTTCTGCAGATCTTGGCTACAGAGGCTTTTCTCATGAAACAACAAGAGTGCTCTGTGCCCTCCAAGTGCCTCCCATCAGCCTCTTTCCAATGCCCAGTCATGAGAGAGTCACAATTAGTTGGCCCCCTCTTCCCACGTGGGTCTAAGATGTCAGCTAAGCTCAGGAAACCCATCTTGTCCTGGTTACCAAGGACAAGATGGCAAAAGCCCACTTTGTGTCTCCTCCTTTTCTGGTGCCAGCTGGCAGATCTGGTAGAATAGGAAGTCCTACTTAACAAATGTTGCCATGCTATAATGCAAATCAGCTGTTCAGAAGAGCTAATTAGGGAATGTCTGTGAATCAAATCAAAACAAGAAAAGGGTACAGGGCCTGTCATAACCTCCCCCAAGACTGTCTTTTAACCCTCAAAATGGTATAAAGAAATGTATCACATTTAAATTTAAGCCCAGAGACTGCAAATGTTTCACTAAGTGCCAACTACCCATTCATGTTGGTGAGCACTATTCACTGCTAAGTTAAGAGAAGAGAAAAGAAAAAAGAATTTCTTCCTTCCTGCTCTCTAGGCTTCTGCAGATATCAAGTTCCTCTTCCAACCTCTGAGGAGTATATATCAATCCAAATCTAATTATTTCCTGCCTTGCCTTCCGAGCAGTAGAGTAACTGCATGTAGATTCTCTTCTACCAACTAGAGGGCAAGTAATCTACCCTTCAGCTCCAAGTGCAAGCTCCGTAACTACTGGATGGATGAGAAGAAAACACGGCCCCATTTTACACTGGCAAAGGACAGAAGTTTATGGTTTTTGTAGTAACGAACTGTTCCTGAACTATATAATTAAATTTAAATCTGGAACCATTTTTTTCCTCTTGTAATGGAATTATGGTTTTATAAAAAAAACCTACACACTCCCTCACCTAAGTGATGAAAAAGGTCTTTTCCCCTTTGGGAAAATGGAATTATCTAATAGTATGCACCAGAAATGGGTTATGTAGAGTAGGAAGTCTACTGTCCATGCATCTTCCACCCAACCACCCACTGCCTTTGTCTCTGCACCCAGCCCCACACCAGGTAACTCAACATCCACTCAGAGGTTGCCTGCTGGCCGAGCTCCAGTCCTCAGGAACATTTTGCTTTTAACAAGATGTTAAACAAACCAATTCCTCTAATATCCCTTCCTGCACCAGAGAAATAGGTCTAATAGTTATGGCAAGCCAATGTCACTTAGTTCTGAATAAGGGAGCCACTAGCCAAAATAAACAGATCCAACATTTGTATTTTCTAAGGGTAAGAAAGACTGACTTCAGCCTCTAGTTTAAATCTTTCCCCTTATGATCCAAACCCTTTGGCAGACCTACTAACACCAGAATCTGACTCAGGTCCATTTTATCTATTACAAGAATAAGCCAATGGCCTGGCTTCCTCCAATACTCAAAGCAAAACAATTTAGTCTATTTTCAATTATGCTACCTGCAAAACCCAACCACTGTTTTTCCGCCCTTTTACTTCAAGTATGGCTTATTTTCTTGTTACGGACTTGTATTTTTAACCCACGGGGAGTCAAAAGGAGGTTGCAAAGCAGTTCTAGAAGAAGCTTTCTTACCCTTAGCATAGGTCTGAAAGGATCTGTCAACTGTGAAGAGAAAATGACAACTTGGTTACATGCCTGTCACTCAAACAATTGCTCTAATTAACAAATTTGTAGTGCTTCATTAGGAGGGGAAATTAAAATGTTAGAATTTTACTTTTAAATGAAGCCCTTTTAGAGAATAATTAGCCAGTTTTCACACTATCAAAAGTACCAACTGTCCCCTCCCCCACTTCCCAGGCCTTGGAACCCAGAGGCTGGCAAGGCCCTGTGCGAGTTTAATGGACGGCAGTGTGCCCTCTGGCGCTGCACTCTGTCCTGAGTCTTCCACACCACAGACCAGGCTGGAGGCTGGGTGCCAGGGGCTGTCCAGGGAGAACCGTCCTCCCCAGACAGGAGAACCAGGAGCACTTTTACAACACCCTCTCTTCCACAACTGTGCGGCACTTACAGGTGTTCGATGTCTTCAGGAAGCTCACTAAGCATCATAAAAATACTGACTCGGTGGGGTCATTTTTAATTTCTGCCTAACTCTCATCATCAATTTCTGACTGTCCTTAGAAAAAGACAATATTGTAAAAGGTAATCATGTTTTTTGCATTTATTATAAAGATAAATATAAACAACAATCAATAGAGAAGATTATATCTATTGCATAACTTCAAATTCTTTTTTTGGAAGTAGGCGGCATTATAAATTATTGATAAATACTATAACTATAGCATAATGGATATTTTATTTAGCTCTAGAACACAAAGGATCCCTGCAACATTAAAAATAGAGGCCCTCAAGTGCAGTATGGTCCTGTAACTTTCTGACCTCAGGGAAGGAGTCCTGACTTCCAGGAAGAAAAGCATTCGGTGCTTTTCCATTAAAAAAAAAATTCTGTAGTTATTTCTTTTATGTAAGACAAATTCAAGGAGTTGTACACAGAGAAGAGCGCTGAGTAGAAACCAGACAAGCAGTGTCTAATTTCTAGGGTCAGCCCGTAAGTAAGCCCTTCCTTTGTCTTCTCTCACTGGCAAATCAGTCCCCTTGTGTCATTCCTAGGTCCCCAGGAGCCTTTGTCTTCAAGAATGACTGGCACTTTCTTGCAGAACTCAAAGGGAGAGCTGAAACAGCAGCTCTTGCAAATAAACGTGCTGGGGAGAGCATGAGCACTGGGTGGGCAGGCCGCGCAGACAGCCCTGGCGTTACCTGAGACCAAGCCTGACTTTGCACGTACCCTCGGGTCCTTTTGGAGTAAAGTGTGTGGGACTGTCCCAGGCCGAGCAGCGACATCGATAGGGTTGGATGTCTACAAATTAATTAGACCACAGCTTAGGAAGCACAGAACACGGGACATAAAAGCAAGATCTTTCCTTCATTCTAACTGACAGAAGCGAAACTTCATTGCTTGTTTCATTCTGGGTCGAGACCCATTTTTCTCAGTGACCACACATGCTCTGGATGAGAATTCGCTCCCTCTTCTCTGCAGGGGCTCTGGCCAGAGACTGCTTGCTCTCTCTTGCCATGGCATCCTTCTACATCAGAGAGCAGACCCCCAGCACATTTCACAGCAATAAAAAGCCCAGGACCCAAAAGAGAAGCAACACACCAAAATGCTGCCCCCTAAATCCTCCCTTCTTCCCAGAATCCACAGTACTGACACTATTTTTTTCTCTTTGCTTTATCACCAAACATTGCAAGAAATGCTTAAGTGAATGTTACTATAATTTGCAGTATCAGGTGCTTCTCATCAGAATAGCTGACAGTATTTTACAGACATTAAGCTAACTCTCTAAATTTTAACTGGCAGACAATAACAAGAAATTACACTCAGTAATTACTCATTAGCAGCAGTGGAAATGGGACAAGAGAACCTAATTTAGGGACCATGCAGATCTACCATTAAATTTTGCTTTTGTCTTTCCTATTCCCACTACCATTTAAAAATATTAATAATAATATTAACCTTATCAACAGGCTTTTGTCCTTTGAATTAGCAACAACACAAAGTCTACTTTGGGCGGAGTCACTACTATCTTGTGGGAAGAGGCTTTAAAAACTCACACTGGTTATTTTATTTAAGAAATCACACCTTCTATGAATACTCTCACACAAGTTAACTCGTGTAGAAAAAGCTCAAGTTTAGGCACGAGCTTGCCTACAAGGAGAAAGGGGTAAAGAGGAATGAAAGAAAGAAAAGCAATCAGCTGCAGTACAACTAACAATTAAGCTGGAGTTGTTAACAGCCTGATTTGCATACATATGAAGAACTCCACTAATGAACCGCAATCTACATATTCAATCAGGAAGATGGCCTGGAAAGGCCTATTTCAACACCAGGAGAGACACTTTCTTGCCCAGATGTAGTTTTCTGTGTGATTGGATAATTGTGAGTGAGGGAAATAGTCTAATTTATTAAATGACCTACCAGTCTGTTTGGGGATGCACTAGAGATTTGTCTCAACCTAGAGGGGACAGACCAGGGTCTGAGGGGGTAGTGAAGAGTAGATGGGGAGGAAGGAGTTTTAAAATCACCATTATTTTATCTTGAGATAGGAGGCTTTTACCACGGCCATCATAAAAGCCCTGTGTATATATAACCTATAAACTGCAAGTCCAGGCTAATGCATGTGATTTTGAAGGTGTAGCCATCCTACCCAATGCCTTTTAATTTCTTTCCCTATTTCTAGTTTTAAGGCAATGTGCCTTTGAAAATGCAGTGTGTGCTCCTCCTGGGAGATTATGGCCCAAAATGCATGTTTGTCTTAGAAATGGCATGAGGGAAAAAAGAAAACCACACACACACACACACACACACACACACACACACACACACACACACTAAACCGTCTCGCTTTAAAATCTGAGAACGTTACCAACAGGAGAAATATATTTCGCTTTTTTATATGAAAGTAAAAAAGGAACCAAAATACATTTTAACATAAGTTGGAAAATTATTCTTCCTTATTGACCTTCAGAGATAACTGTAGCCCAAGCTGAGCAGTGTATCATTGACTAGGTAGAAAAGAATTCAGTTGTTACAAAGGGTAAGGGCCTAGTTTTATCCTAGGATGTTGGAAACAGATGACGGAATCCTGAATTTGGCAAGTGTGACCATGGTGAGGAGTGGGAAGACTGTGAGCAAGCAGAGAGGGACATGGTATCCAAAGGTAGGCAGCTGCCCTCCACCTGCAGGCAGAGCCTGTTCACAGAGAGATGGCGCTGATGAGGACAGTGAGGGAGAAGCAGCAGAATCTTCCCTTGATACAATTCACAGGACGAAGTTTTAGTTTGGGAGCTTCTCTCCCTCATCCCTTTCTATTAGAATCAAAGACAACTAGGTGCACATATGTCTGACATTTCATAGGATTCCTGACTAGAATCGTATGTCACAGTATTGGAAGAAAAAACTAACATATGTCAATGTATATATTCTGCATATTTCACAGAGCACAGAAAATCTTAGCCCAACTGAGATTACATGGTAGTACAGGCTGAAATGTAAAATTTTTGCTGAGGTTTAAAACTAGATGGACTTGAAAAAAAATATTCTCACCCTCATCCCCGTGGTCACTTCGTGTCTGACAGATTAGTCACCGGGCAGGCAAGATGCAGAAGTCACCGGCATGCCTGACTGGGGACTCCATTAGAAACGTGCCTGTGCATCTTCACTGTAAGGTTCTTACCTTGGGCTGAAATGCTCCTTGTAGTGAACCAAAAGGGCCAGTGGGTGGGATCATGGGGGGGATGCCCGATACTGCAGGAGGATAGGAATGGAAGAGCTGTGGCCAAAGACGGAGAGGGAGAAAAACCATTTTAGTAGGAGGCAAGTGATATATTCAAATTCCCTTCCCATAGAAAGACATCAACATTAGCAAGCCAAGTAATCTCAGTTTGATGCTATTAGTCAAGAAGCCATGATGAAATGATCACACAGATGTGCCATGAATGCTTAACTTAAAAAGTTAAAAGTAGTTCAGAATCAATCAGCCAACAAATGATGTCCCAGATGAGGACATCATTAGAAAGGGAGCTTTTCTAATTATTAATTGGTAAATTGCATAGAAGTCCTAAATGGTTGGAGGTTTTAATGCATATCAAAACCAGAAGGGAAGCTGAGCCAAGTACGAGGCCCAGATAATTACAAGTTAATTAGAAAAAAAAGAGAAAAGAATAAAAAAAAAGAAAAAAAGGAAGAAAAAGAAGCAAGTCTTTATGAATGCCAGGATTTTATACCATTAAAACTCAATTAGTACTTTTAGATTTTTAATAGTTTGAGGCAATGAGAACATATTCACAATCCTTGCTTCATTAGGTTATTCTAGAAGTGGCAGTTCCAGAGGACAATTTAACTTGCTTATCTAATACGATGACAAATATTTGTGGAAGAGGAAAATAAAATGACTCAGTATATACTTTAAATGGAGATGCCAAATTTTCTAGAAGGCGGACTGGACTATAGAAGCATAGAAATCCTATTTGCTATAACTAGTAATAACCCTGGGTTATCACTATCCAGTTTTAGTATTATTATTTCCTAGAGGTTGCGGTACTTAGAGGCCTTCTGTTTTAACATGTGAAGCCCAAATTATTATGGCTGGTTTTGAATACCTTGCCTCGGTATTCATGAACACTTTTGTGTCGCCTTGGTTCATGAACACTTTTGTTTGTGAACATTTTGGTTCACAAACAGAAGCATTTGGCAAAATTTTGTTTCCATTTGCAAATTCTGCATCAGGTGACAAACACAACCCTGGCCATCTTTCCTGCATGAACACAAATGTGGCCATTTTTTCTAGCATCGTCGAACAAATTAAGTTCATGAACTGAGGTACCACTGATCTGCTATTGATCCACTGATCTGCTACCACTAAGCACGTTCAGTGGAGGTTACTCAAGCCATACTGTTGACATGTGGGTCTGATCATTCACTGATGGCAAAAGAATGGTTTTGAGTGAAGAATATGAATTTTCTTGAATCATTAGCTTACAAAGGACTTAACTAAGGGGAAAAAGACAATGCAGACACCTTTCCCTCCTTTTAAAAATTTATCTCAGAGATTCTATTTGTCTGATTCTGTTTCCTTTGATCAAAGCACCATATGGACATAGAAATAACACCCCATCTTCAAGATTGTATCTTATATTTTAAAATACAATAATAAGCTTTTCTTAACAATGCATTTATGTTTCCTATTTTTGGTAACAACTGAAATTCACATCTCACAATCCTGTTTGCAGAGCACGTACCTTTTTTTTTATTGGTCTTTATTTCATTTTGCTCCCTTATTATGATGCAGCAAAGTTTTTCAGAGTAATTGATATTGAACTAAATCCACTTAAACAGAGATTGCAAACCAAGTGCCCTCATTTACAACTACTTTTAAGTCTAAAATTGTGTTTTAGATACTTGAGTGCATTGCATCTTAATTCCCCTTATAATGTCTTAATCCCCAAAGTAGGGGAGACTAAGTACTTCATATATTATCTGCTATAACTAGTAATATGAAATAATTCTCCCACAGTACATTGTATGAAGCAGAGTAATTAAATACATGCCACACTAAAACACACTCAAATTTCTATAACTCTGCCTCCAGGTGGGCATATTTTCCTTTAATATTTACAATAAAATTGTATGTTTTTACCACTTTCCTTTTGCTTTATTCCGTTACTGAAATCTTAGACTACAAATGTAGCTGACTATTCCCCTCTTGACTAAAGCCTGAAGCACGTAAGTAATAAGACATCAACTTTGCCAGGCTCAGGTCTCCAGGCATGTGCTCCATCTTAAACCTAAGACCCTGTGGAAGGTGCACACAGAGGTGCTGCATGGATCTTGGGAAGAGAACCGGAGGTACCTGCTGAGCACAATGAGTTTTCCATCAGAATCACTTCCCTAGTGGGGCTCTCATTTAGGTCAGCAAAACGCAGACTAAGGCACAATGGCAATATTCATGGGCAGGCCCAAGAAGAACCCACACAAGGCTAAGGATTTTGAGAGTCCACTTAAAAAAGTTTTTGTATCGTAGTGCTGAGCAAAACAGGGTGAATCTGTGGGGAACAAGTCACTCAAATGTACTTTTTAATTTCTGTTGAAGAGGATTTCCTCATGTTAGTTCTGAATGCCTCTAAAGAATTCTCAACTAATTTCTAGTATTTTCCAGTCTTGACTTCTCAGCTATACTCTTGAGTAATAGTGTTTAATTATATATTTAAAGGATGAATGAATTTATTCTCTGCTCATCTATTAAGTAGCCTTTCCACTGAAATAATGCTATCCACAAACCAAAGCAAAATAGTTACCCATGGTGACTCAACATGGCTACGAACAACCATTAACCTTCTTTTTTCCCTGGTTTTACTTGAAAATATAAACTATAAAGCAAAGAAACTTGCACATTTTCAGATAAAAATGATGCAGTATTCACCCCATAATCAAAATATCATCGTAAAATATTCAAGTCCTTTGTATAAAGAGAAACTGTCATGTAACTGAACTTATAACTCAGGTTGGCACCAATTTACCTCCTGGAATGAGTTAACAAGTAATTTTTTTATATAAAGAATGAGTTTAGAGAAAAACAGCATTCAATTTTAAGAATTCTTTTAATTATTTAAAATTATATTTTTATTAATCAATTGACATAAGCCCAGGAGAGCAAAATCAGCCATGCTGAAGAGGGCTGAAGAGATTTTTAAAGGCAAAATCTTTGTGAAGTTATGAGTCAACAAGGTAAGAGGCTTTGCATTTAGAGGGCACAATGCAAGCTGAGCTCCAGGAATTCTGTGTTACTGGCATTTCAACTGGTGGCTGAAGTGTTGTGACTTTACTGTCCCGAACTCCGATGACTCCACCAGACACTGCCTTTGCAGGACAGAGGCCTGACCGCCAGTGAGTCCCAGTTGCTTTAAGTCTTGGGCGTGCTTATGATCTTTTGATTCAGAAGATAATACTGCATCTTTACGAAAAGCAAATGCCATGAAAGCAAGCATCCAAAGTGACAAGGCACGATGGGAACTCTTGCAAAGATGATTAAGGAAGCTGCTAGTCATTTACCGATCTGTGGCAAGAGCACAAGAACGCAAAAGCAGTTACATTGAATGTGTAGCATGGTAATGCAACTCACACTGTGCCGGTAGAATGGGTCAACTTTTGTAGGGTATTTGTCAAACTGTAAAGGGATCAAAGCAAAAGCTAGTTACTTAATCTGCATTTTTGTTCACTGCATCAATGGAGGTAACCCTAATCAACTTCTGTGTCATTGTCATCAGGCTCAATAACCTCACTACATGAAACCACCGGAGCTCCTCGGTCACCCTCACAATAAATCAACAGAAGTAGGAAAACAATGTGAAAACCCACAAGCTACACATGGGTCTCAGACATACTATGATGTCTTACTCTATATTTAGAGAATGACACAGAGCAAACATGTAAACTGGAGAAGATAGGCAATTATCCAGATAACTAAGACACAAGCGAGCGTTTGGTCTGATTTATCTAGCGAATTCCCTCCATTTTCATCTTCACTTGGGCAGAAAAACTGTGGACTTAGCTATCTTCTGAAACGCATCACACCCAAATACAGAGCAGTTTGGGCTTGGGCTTAGACCCTGTCTTCTGAACAGAAAAAGAGTATGCTATCATTCTTCTAAGTAGTAATGTCTTCATCCAGGTATGGTAACAACTCTGAGTTAGATTTAATTTATTTGTGAAATAGGCCAGCATGAAACTTTTCCAAAATATGGGGCCTTTAAAAATGTCACTATTGGCTGGGGATTTAGCTCAGTAGCTTTGGCACCTGCTACGCAAGCGCAAGGACCCGAGTTCGATCCCCGGTATCAAAAAATAAAAATGTCGCTATTGAGAAGTATAGTTCATCCAGAACAGAAGATACAGGACTTCCCATAGAAAATGTTTTGGTTGCAAGGCCTCACCTTTAATATTCCTTTACATAAAAATATATGTTCAAAAAAGGTGAACAAGGTGGGGGCGGGCGGGGAGAAAGGAAGGGGAGGAACTGAAGTTACACGACAAGAACTCCACGGGATTCACATCTATTCTTACGATGTCTACATAAACTGCCTCAAAATCAGCTACATTAAATATTAAATATTTAAAATTAAGCAATAAAGTCTTCTAATACTGCTCAAGGCAGAATTCTATCTCAGAATAGAGTTCTAGTATGGTACCATTAATCACAGTTCCCAATTTTCAAAACAAAAATCCTAACTAGCCAGGCCTGGTGGCTCAAGCCTGTCATTCCAGCTACTCAGGAGGCTCATGCTGGAGGATTGCAAGTTCAAAGCCAGCCTGGGTAACTTAGTGAAATCCTGTCTCAGAAATTTAAAAAAAGGCAGGGATGTAGCTCAGTGATAAAGCACTTGTCTTAACGTGTAGAAGGTTCTACATTTAATTCCCAGTAATAAAAAAAGTCAAAGAAAAAGAAAGTCGTAAGTAGCTGGGGCATTGCCAGATAAGACCATATCACCGCCAGTGGTAGCTCTCATCACTACAGACTGAGTTCCGTCCCGGTGGGGCACATCAGTCCCTGACCACATGCACACAGAGCACGATGCCGCACTGGGGCACTGTCATGAAATACAACAGAACCCCTAACAGAGCAGATTTAGGGAAAACATCTGAATGAGCAGGTGGCATCCAGTGTTGCCCAGGCCTCCCAACAGGTCTCTCCCCATCTCTCTTTTTACTGCTGATATTTACTGCTGATACATACTGTGAGTGTATGTGTGCTGGTACTTGGTACAGGTACACTGGTAAACAATCCCTGGGTTGCCCAAGAAAACTAAACAACACTTGGACAGGTTAAGTACCAACACCGGATGTGACTATTTTGGAGTCATCTAGAATAAAATCCACCCACAGTGCTAGATACAACTGTAAAAATGTTCCCACGCCAGGCCCCTGAAGTCAGAGCGTGGTGCGGTGGGACACATACATTCCCCTCTCTCCAGCAAAGATGGGCAAGGCCCACAGACTCCCCAGAGAGGCGGCACTCCCATCCATCCGCGGCCCCGATGCCCATGCCAACCCCAGCGTGCTGCAGAAAGAAAAGAGCCATGCTCTACTCATCCTCACATTTCTGCCTGGGGTACGCACCATGGGAGGTGCTGGCGTCGGCATGATGGCGGTGGGCGGGATGGCGTGGGGGAATGGCGTGAAGGTGTGCTGGTGCGTGTGCTGGTGCGTGTGCTGGTGCTGGTGCTGGTGCTGGTGGAACTCGGTCCGCAGGTAGGGCGGAGGGCCCAGGGAAGCCCCACGGTCAGCACTCTGAGAGGCCAAAAAACGTGTGTTCAGTTCCTGGCGCAAGATGTCTTGCTCTGGAAAAGAAGAGAAGGGAGCCATGACACTTTTCCTAGAACATTTCCTTCAGAACAGGACGTCAGAAGGCTTTCATTTGGAGGGATACTGGGCTGAGGACACAGCAGCCGGGGAGCTATGAGGGTGGAGCCAGGAAGGCTCTGGGATAAAGGGGGACAGCCTATGAGAGGGTGAGCTGACTCCAGGCCAAACAGCCCTGTTACTGCCAGCTGACTGGCCCTTGGCGTGGCAAATGTCCTGTCTCTGAGTCTGTTTCCCATCGGTAAGTTGGAGGCAATAACATGGCTGACATCATGGGTTTGCTGGAAGGGTTAAGGGCCTCGGGCACACTAGTCATGAGCAGCTGTTAATGCGGCTGGGTGCTCATGCCCTCTTCAAGGTCAGTTACTGCTCCATGGTTTGGCATAACATGGCTGGACTGGACTGACACTGGGACATCGGCCTGATTAATACAGATGAGGGGAAGAGGACCCCAATAACAGTAGGTCTCTTTTTTAAACTCTGGACTATACTGTCACAGAAAGTACATCTCCTTCTCCAAATAAAAAGACAGAGGCCCGGGTCCACAGAAACAACCCTCTTAGACCAGGACGCAGCCTAAAGTCCTGCAGTGAAGTAGGCGTGGGCCTGGGAAAGCTGTTGTTGCTCTAGCTGAGTGCAAGGCACACAGCATTTCCCACCCAGTGGCCAGCTTGGCTGGAAAGGCGTCCTGACTTTCACCAACCATTTATCAGGTTGGGCCAGGTCAGTCTGGGTGTTGATTTGTATTGCTGCTGAACCTCTGGCCAAAGAGGATGGGAGGGCGATTACGAGAATATACCCAAGAAAGCACAAGACTCCGTAGACACAGTCTAGCCATCAGGGACAACACAAATGGCACTGGGGTCACTTAGCAACGCACAGTGGGCGCGAAGGTGCAGCCGGCATGGGGTCCTACCTGAGTACGTGCTCCCGGCAGGGTGTCCGGGGACCTGCAGACTCCCTGATGTCAGTGGTGGTGGAGGAGGCAGAGCAGTGGGAGGGGCAAACATATTGGGGTGATGTGAGTGTGCGGGGGGCTGGAGGGTGGGTGTGAAGCTGTGCAGAGGGCTGTGACTGGGCAGGGAGAGGGGGAATGGGGAGGCGGAGGGGTGGTGGGCGATGTGTGGAGGGGCGGGTTGAGTCTTCGCTGGAGTGCTGCTTCTGCTACTGCTGTGGGAGTAAGGGGAAAGAACAAAACCAACAGGTGAGCAATTGGCTTTCTCAGAGTAGATCCCCTCTCCCTGCCCAATGCGCTTCATCTGCCCTGTCTTGGTCCTTCCTCTTTCCAGATCCTCCCCAACACTCGGCAGCCGTCTGAAATCTCTGCTCCTGCACGCTCTCTCTTTGCTACTACGGTGGCCTGGTGGAACCGCTGCCCCAGAAATGCTGGGGGTCCTGGAGCGCAGCAGCTGACTCCACCAGGCCCTCAGGGCCTCTCTGGCTTCTGCAGCCAGACTCACCTCCAGCCCTCCTTCCTCTCCTCCACCAGCCCTGCTTCCTAGAAGGCGGCAGAGTCGAGGATCTGAGTTCCCCCTGTCCGCCTGCTTCCCTATCAGTGAAGAAACACCCTTTTGTCTAGAGGCCATGGGAATGGCAGAAGTGGCGCAGGAGTCAGGAGATGGCCTGGCCCCTTGGGGAAGAACCCTGCCTCCCTAAGGCTACTCTGTACCTGTCCCAGACAGGAAAAAGCAAGTCACTGAGCCACCAAAGTCACCAGGTTTCTGAAAGGAAAACAATAACAAAGACACAAAGCCTCAGGAGATGTGCAGGGTTAGAGTGGTAACCCCCGGGACAACCAGGGCTTGGCCTGATCCTGGCCTTCTTGCCTCTTTCCTTCGCAGTTCTCTGCACTGCTAGACTCTGCTTCCTAACCTGAAGACCAGAGAGCCCGCTCTCCATGTTGGCCTTTCTTCCTCTCCACCACTACTTTCTTCTCTACCTCTTTGGCCCACAGAGGAACAGGCAAATCCTAATGGAAAAAACCCTCAAACCAGAACAGTCCCTGGTGCCAGCCTTCCGGAGTTGCAGAGACACAGCTGTTCTTCAGAGTTGCGCCCTCGGAGGCAAAAGGCCTCCCTCCTGAGAGCCTCTGCCCCTTCTCAGCACTGCTGGCAGGCTCTGGGCACAGGCCTGGAACTGTTTCTTAGACCTCCCCTCCCGCCTTCCTTCCTCACTGGCCATCCCAGCGTGGCCTTTCCCAGGAGACTGAGTCTCAACCCACAGCCCTCTCCTGGTCTTTGGGCCTCACAGACAGAATGAGGCCAAGCCTTCACAAGGCAGCACCAGCCTCCAGGAGGCGCCCCATCCCCAGGGGTCGGGCAGAACTGCAGTGGGCTCACCTGAGACTGTTGAGGCTCAGGCTGCTACTGTTGTAGGCGGACAGCGGCTGGGAGAGGCTCTGGGACGAGGGGTGGGGCTGCACGGACGGGAGGCCCTGGTGAAGCAGCTGGGTGGGGGACTGTGGCCGGGGCGGCCGCTGCACCTGAGGCTGTGGGGCTGGCTGCAGCTGGGCCTCCGGGGGTCCCTGTGGTGGCTGAGTACTCGGAGGGGGCGGCTGGGCTGGGGCCTCTGCCCGCTGCACCAAGTCAGGGTCCGGAGACGGAGCTCGGAGCTGGGGCTCCGCTGGGGGCTGGGGGAGCGGAGGTGGGATCTGAGGACAGGGGTCTTTAAGCGCCACGGGCTCAAAGATAGGCTCTTTGCAACAGTCCTGGCTCTTCTCCTGGCTCCTCTCTAGACCCGATATCTTGGGGACAATCGGCCCTGCATCCTGGCTGTCATGTTCGGGCAGCGTGCCAACACCTAACTCCGGATCTGTATGGGGAGAGCAAAGACAAAACCACAGGCAATGAATGACACACGAGTGTGGAGTGAGGGGGAAGCACCGTCCAAGGCCCTGCCCTGTCCTCTGCTCCTGCGGGCCATACGGTTAGGGCTCCTGTGAATAGGGACGATGGGAGACCAGGCAGGAAAGATGGACAGCAGCCTTTGTCCCTGGCAGGAGAGAGGACAGCCTAGGCCACCACGAGTCCCAAAATGCATGTTTCCCTTAATCTCCACGGAGACTTTTATGGAGCACAACGAAGAAACAATAGCCAACAAGTAGAGTTTTCCCTTTTAAAACAAACAGTTCTTGAATGTATAAATGAAGCAACGCTATTTAACAAGACACAGATGTTTTCTTGGCTTTCTTTCGCCTTCCACTTTGCATTTCGGCCAGAAAGACACACTTGACATTTAGAGAAATAATTTTTTGGTTTAGAAGTGCTACATTTCCAGTCAAAAGGCAAGCCCCTTATTCCTGCCAGCCATCTTAGCCATATCTGAGATCAAGGGTGCCGAGGGGGATGTGAATCATAGTTACTGTCAACCAAATTTCCCAGGTCTTTTAAGGGGGTCCCCTCTGGCCATGTGGGGGGCCCCATCCACCAAGATCAAGGGGTACAGATACTGCATGCTGAGGTTAAAATGGGATAGAAAATTTAAACAAACTTCTTCAATTATGAAAAAATATAGAAAACAGAAGCTGTTATATGAATTTAAAAGCTACTAGTACACTTACTGCTAAGGTTGAAAGAGCCAAATGTCACATCTAGTATAAGGGTGTCTTTGATTACCCCATAACCCAAATTCCATACAGTTCTCAAACAGAATAATGAAAGACCAATATGGAGCTGAATATAAAGGAATAGCCCCAATGAGCGGTGGGTGTTTTTGTATGCATCTGGAAGAAAACCACCTTTGCTATATTTTTCTCCTAAAAAGATACATCTTTTTCTTTATTACTACACAGTTTAGCAATAAGAAGAGTGTAACTTACAGTATTCTCTGACACCAGGGTATCTTTCAGGCATTCCTCAATGAACTACACTGGGCATAAACTTCTCTTCCTATCTCCCTATAGCAGTGTGGAAAATATGTGACATTCATGCTGTGTTTATTTCTGTCTGGGCACAAGTATACAATGTACATTTTTCTTCCCTGGAATTTGCATCAAAGTAATCCATTATTTGCTGTGTTCTTTTGGTAAAACAGTTCAAACTGGCAACACACATAAAAGCAGAAACTAGCCCTGGGTTTACAAGCAAAGCACATTTCTGGCGCACATCAACTCGGCTAACTTCAAGTCTCAGCGAGCAGCATGGAAATAATGCCAACAGGATGGCAAGACAGCTGCCTCCTCGACTTGTTCCAGGTACCCAGCAGCCCACGAGGCCTGGTGACAAGTGACCCTGGACTTATGTCATCCTGTTCATGCATATTTCTGTCCAACGGAGTTTTAAGAACCATTTAAGGAAGATTTTTGGTTATGATAAAAGCTTACATTTTAAGGGTTCTCAAAACCCTAGTTTCTAATTTCAGTGCTCAAAGGTGGTATGAGCTCCTGGATGTCCTGGCAGAGCCCGGCCGCCTGTGCTGTGTCCTAGGTGGCAGAGGAGACCCTCTCTCTGCAGATACCAGAGCCGAGGGTCTGGGTTTGCTCATGCTTTTTCTCCCATCCTTTACAAATCTCCTGCATTTTTCTTTCACAAAAATCTACGCTATGATACACTGAAGCCATTATAGTACACACTGAAAACTGCATGCTTCACATACTCAGGTCTATGATTCAGGTCTGGGACAGAAAGCAGCAACAATGCAGAAACCCTGACAACACAAAATTAGAAGAGGGATTCACTGGAGAAGAGGTCTGTGCGCGGGAAGGGGGATTCTTCCTACATCGACAGCTAATTTAGGGCTATTACGCTTGACAATGGCAGGAACACATTTTCATCCTTTTGTGCCCTTGGTCTCTTCTTTCTGGACCAAGTAGTAAGAAATCAATCAATCTTTTCTATTTTGCTGACGTTTATATTCAAATTCCCTCCAAAATTTAATGTTCAATTACAGCTTCTCCCTCCATGAAAAAAAAGACTTCCTTTGTGGAAGGACACTGTTTAAATTCATTTCTGCTCATTATAAAGCACATTCGAAACACACAGGCCAGGATCCACACATGTAGCCTGACTCGTCTGTCTCCTTGTTCTTTAATGAGCCTGTAGAGTGAGGACAAGGCAGCTCAAGTGCAGGCGGCCTACCCCACACACATGGCCTTGCTTCCCAAGGCTCTGCAAAGGCTATCAGAGCTGGCTTTCTGGTCTCCTCCTCGGCCCCGTCATCTCAATCCCAACCTGAACACACCTAAAACACATGGAGAGGTATTCAGATTACAACAGTTACTGCCATCAGTGACAAGCAACAGGGGACATAGGGAAAACCAAAGCTCACTAGTGAACCTTGCAACTCCCTATCGGACCAGTGGTAAAAGACTGAAGGAACTTAGAAGCATGGAATTTTGAAACATGACCAGAAGGCTCAACTTTTGATTTGTACTTTCATGTGACGATCTCACAGAAATGAGGGTCTGGATCCAAGAGTCTTAGGACGGGGCTCCACTGCACTGTGGATCCTTGGTCTATACTTTGAGCAGCAGGGATTTTAGCCATCCTTCTCCCACGAGGTGGGGAATGAGCACAGAGAAGTGAAAGTGAAAGAACTTGCTTGCTGGGAGTCAGCTGGCTGGCTGATATCCCAGAGATCTGGAGTTCTAGTTCTAATTCTGTCCCCACCAAGCACCTTTTCTCCAATCTACACTGCTCCATCCCTAGAAAGCAAAAATCCTAAAGCAAATTAATTAATGCCAAATGCAGGACTCAGTTAAAATATGTAAGCACAGCAGACAGCAGTGTTAGGAAGAAAGGCTATGAAGAATTGCTGGCACACTGGGCTTCAGCTAACATGGAACACAGCCACCAATCCATCAGGGCCCTGGGACTGCGACCTATAATACAAGCAAGGAAGGGATAGGGCTGAGGACCACTGAGAATGTCACACAACATGTCTTTAGGCACAAATTAGGCATCATGCATCTTTGAGGCTACTCGGTAATGCATTTTCTCTTCCTTTCAATTATTCAATAAATATATCTCCCCAGTGTAGGTTTTCCACCTTGACAGTTTGTCTTACTGTGCTTCTCTAAAATTTGCAGAAAGACATTTTTTAAAAGTCACTCAGTATTACTCCATGTACTCTGAATTTGGCAAAGATGAAATCTGCTGAGCTAGAAAGATAATGTGCAAACGAGTGGCTGTATTTAAACACTGTATTCATTACATTTTCTGGGCTTAAAAGCGTTTCATCTTGTGATTATGAAAAAATATACTACACATTGTAACATAAAGAGGGTGAATTTACTCCATGTAAAATACAAATCAATAAATGACTCAATACATTTTTTTAAAAAATCTGAGCCAGATTAAGAAAAGTTTACTTGATTTTGATAGAGATTCCTTGGGAAAATGAGACCTATTTTGTATTTTACCAGTAGAAAGTAAATCCTAGATACAACCTCTGGAGGGCAATTTGGCAACATTTAGCAAAGAAAACAAAATTAAATGGAGTTCCTTTGCCCTGGTGTGTAAAGATTCACTCTACAGACACAAGGAAATAACACCTTGGTTTGAACTGCAAGTTTGGAAATAATCCAAGTGAGATCACTAGGGGAATAGTCAAATACATTTGGTACTTTCAGACAACGGAAACTATAAAAATGAATGTTGTATGTACAGTGTATAGCATATACTACCTCCTTTTGTGAAAAATGGAGGAAAATAATATATGTATTCACTTTTACTTATGCCAAAAGATGCTCTGGAAGAATATTCAAGAAGCCACTAACAGTGGGAACCCTTTTGGGGTCTTGGGAAGGAGAACGCCTAGTGGTGGTGAAGCTACAGCACACATGTCGCAGTGGGCTATTTGTTGTCACTGAAAGCTGAAAGGTTCGCCATCACTGGGCTGGAGCATGATGAGAGAGCTAGTTCTGTGTAAATGCATAAAAAATAAGGAAATGTAAAACATTAATAACATGGATATTATGAGAAAATATGAATTATCGAAACTGACTAAAATCAACCACAACTATAAAATACACCGTCAAAGAACTAAATAATCTACAGTTTTGCCTCAACCTCAAAAAAGGTACCTGTGTAGTAGGCACTGTTTACTAAATCTCTGAAAACAATTATTCCTATTATTTACATTGAAAACAGCAAACATTATTCAATAAAAGGAAAAGGCAAAGCTATTATTTGCAAAAAAGACATGATTATCTAGCTGGAAAACAAAAAAAGCCAGTTGAAAAATTTACTAGAGCTGTACGAGAGCTAAGTAAGGTACTCAAATAAAGAAAGAACATAAACTACACTAGCTTTGCTATACAATACTGACAATCAGCTGGGGATGGAGCTCAATGGTAGAGCATTTGCCTGGCATGCTCAAGGCCCAAGGCCCTGGGTTCTGTCCCTAGCACTCGCACACATACACACACACAAAGAAAGAAAGAAAAATCATAATACCTGAAATAATCTAACAAAAAATTATAGAAATTATACATTTCTGTAAACTTTCATAAATGTATTAAATATATTCCATATATATATATATATATATATATGGGGGAGAGAGACGTCAAAATCATGTAAGAGGTGATTCTCATCAGAGGATAACCCTCCTTGGGCAAGTTTTAGAAATTTGCGGGAGTGCATTTGGCTATTACAACAACTAGAAGACACTGTTGGCTGTAAAGGATACTAGATATACTACAATGTGCACAACAACCCCATACAACAACATCTCCCAATATCTCAATTTACTTTCTAAATCTCAGTAGGTCCTAAAATACCTAGAACCGACCTCTATTTTTGCACATAAACACAGTAATTTTTTTGCATACACCGGACTTTCCAGGAATGCAACCACTGTCCTTTGCTATA